ATATCGCGGATCGGCTGGCGAAGGAGGGTGCTAGAAGTCGGGGTCAAGCTGCTTATATAGGGTCCACTTTCTTTATTGCACTGGACCAGTAGACCTCAACCTAAATTTTTTGGGTCTTTTCTTTTCTTAATTTTTGCACTGTACATCTCAAGGCGAATGGGCATTTTTTTAAGCCTTTTCCTTGCCACTTTCTTGTAAAATTTTGTAAAAAGGGTAATCTTCTAATGGAAATTTTTGTACAGGGTCTACTGACCTATTTTTACTGAGAGTCCCACCTAGAGGGCACTCTCGAATGAACACATTACTGTACTCTTTCTCTCTACAACAATACAATTGTTAACAATTTTCAAAAAAATAAATTATATAATGTTATTATAATATAATATAATAATATTATATTATTTTATAATATATAATATATTACATTATAATATTATATAATAAAATTATATAATATTACGATATTATAAAATAATATTATATTAATATGTTATAATATATTAAATATAATATAATAATATTATATACTATAACAATATTAAAATATATATTATTATAACGCCATTGTTCCAGTTTTAACTTTCACTAATGGCGTGAGCAGCTTTTCTTAAGGAAATAGTGAATGGGAGAACTTGTATTCTGACTTTTCCCCTTTTTTACTGTACCCAAACAAATAAAAACTACAGTAACAAGGAAAGTCAGGTACTTTCACCGCTTTACCCGGTTATCAAATGCCCCCATAAGCTATGCAATTTTCACGGATTTCCCAAACATTTGTTGAAGTCATGCGACTTCTCCAAAATTATAAAAGCACATTTCATTAGGAGCATTTTATTTGTATTGTTAGAAGCTAAACATCTTAAAGCATGAAATCTGGGCATCCTGCTTGTGTACCAAAGCCCACTAACTAAATGTTTTAACTTTCAATATTCTTCTTTGTAGATTTAAAACAAGAAGAATATGATTTGTATGAGACTTTTCCTTAAAAGGTTGTCACGTATAAGCAATGATTCAAAAAGCGGACCGCCCAGCGCCTTAGGTAGCCGCCTAGGTGGTCCGAAAGGCTTGGGTGCATCACCCAGGTCTAGGCGGCCGATCTGAGCGCCACCTCGGAACCCACCTAGGCGGCCAATTTGAGCGCCACCTCGGAACCCACCTAGGCGGATGCCCAACCCTGGGCGGCCACCCAAGGCCTATGCCCCGCCCAGGGGCGGAAATTGTTTTTGGTATGGGCAATTTTTGTCATTTTTTTTTGTTTTTAAGGGCCAAAAATTAGGGTTTTAGATTCATTTGAACCCTAAAACTTGTTGGAGCCAATTTTAGAGAGAGAGCCCCCACAAATCTAGTTTTTGGTGAATTTTTTAGGATCGAAAGGTTTCTCAAAGTTAACAAAAATTGATCAAAACATCACCCATTGATATTAGATTTACTTTTTGCAAAGTTATAAGGGGGTCTTTTAGAAGATTTTGAGTATTTAGAAGTATCTTTGAGGTGGGAGTTTGAAGATCGAGCAATCAAACTCAAAGTAAGTGATTTTTTTTTATTGCTTTAGTAATTTGCATTATTTTTTAGTTGTCTTTTTCGGGATCTAATAGGAGTGGTGATCCCGGTTGGAAGATATAAAAGGGGGCATAAACCGGTTCAAGAAACATCTTACCGGTATCAGGGGGGTGTTGCCCCACGTAAAAAAGACTCCTGATGCTGTTAAAGAGGAATTAAACAATTTTTTGAACATGGTGCAAATGAAAAAAGATGAGAGATTTGCCTCTATAGCAGAGATTAGGTCGGGGGTTCGGATCAATTTTGATGATGATGATAATGATGAGGAAATGGTGGGATGTCAAGAAGTTGAGCAATCCATTATTAAGGAAAAAAGAAAGGGAGTTGTAATTGCTTCTGGTTCTGGGACTAAGAAGCCTCGGGTTAGAGGCCTATGGATAGTTTTTTACCTCGGCCTGACCCTGAAGTTGCAGGAGAGAAAACAAAAAAGCAACCACCATTGAAAATAGAATCAAGAAGGAAGAGAGAGATAGAGCTGAGCATTATCTTGCTTCATGATTTTATGAGGCGAGCATCCTTTCAATACCGCTCGCTTAAGCAGCTTCTATAATGCGATAGAGGCAGTTGGCCAATTTGGCCTTGGGATGAAACCCCCAACCCCATATGAGCTTTCATAGCCTCTTTTAAAGAAGGTATGAGTGCCGCGAAGGAAGCTATAGAACTTAAGAAGGATGCATGTGCTCAGTAAGGGGTTTCTATTATGACTGATGCTGGAAGTGATGGGAAGAGAAGAAGCCAGATGAATTTGCTTGTGAATTGTCCTGCAGGGACTGTCTTTTTTAAGTCTATTGATGCCTCTGATCGTATCCATGATGCTCATTACATATTTCAAGTGATAGAGAAGGGAATCAAGGAGGTTGGGGAGCGGGAGCATCTTGTTGTACAGGTTGTCACAGACAATGCTGCTCTTGATGTTGCTGCATCTAATTTATTGCGCATAGCTTATCCTAGAATCTTTTGGACACCATGTGCAGCAAATTGTATAGACCCCATGCTTGAGGCTCTTGGCGGTTTAACCGAGATATCAGATGCAGTGAAGAAGGCTAAGTTAGTTACAAATTTCATTTATAGCCACCATCTCACCCTCAGCGTGATGCGTACATTTACAAAAAAAAAAGAGATTGTGAGACCTAGGGTCACAAGATTGCGACCTAGTACTTATGCCTAGATAACATACATTCGAGGAGAGTGCAGTTGAGGCAAATATTTATCTCACATGAGAGGAGAGCATGCAAGTGGTCTAAGGATCAGGTTGGGAAGAAGGTGAGAGATATTATACTTTCTAAGGCTTTTAGAGAGGGGTGAAGAGCGCTCTTAAAGTAATTTTTCCTCTTGTCAAAATCCTTCGCATGGTTGATAGTGACAAGCTTTCTATGAGCTACATATATGATGCTATGGAAAAATGCAAAAGACAGATAGCCCAAAATTTCACTGATGAAGAAACCCGCTATAAGCCTGTTTTTTAGATTATTGATGAGAAGTGGGATGGGCAACTACAACGGCCATTGCATGCAACCGGTTATTATTTGAACCTAGCTTTTTTTATATTGACAAGGATATACAAACAAATGACATAAATTATGAATGAATTTGATCCTAATATGCATGATAATATA